AAAGAATTAAAATTGTGGGAAATTACCTCATTTTACTATATACCTAAAATGGGTCAATTGTACTCTATGTAAAGTATGACTCCAAGAAGCTGACTTTTAAAAACTGAACAATTAGAGTAAAATTGTTCAAATTAAGCATGTATCTTGCAATTCAAGTAAATCTCAAATCAAACATTCTAAAACTGATCAGGGAAAATGGAAAAACTGAGAATGATTACAATAAATGAGACAAGTATCTTAAAGTTACGGCTTAAATATGCAAAAATAAAGTTATAATAGAGATATTACTATCAAAATTGAAAAAAATAAATTATTCCTATCTTTATATTTTAAAGACTATTAAAAAAACAAAAACACTTACACCTTCTTCAAATGTCCACCTTTTACTAACTTCATGCTCATTATAATTAAACATTTCTTGATGAATCTCAATGATTCTATGTCTCATGTTTTCTATTTCTGTAATTAGCTTGGGAAGAAAAAGGGAAAAAATAAATCTTATAAGCTATATACTGAAAATTTTCCATATCACTGCTTACATTTAAGTATTCACAGATATTTTAGTCTTAGGATAGTGGTAGATTTTTAACTGTTGGCAATTATGTGCAAAATACAATTAACAACACTAAAATATATCACACAACTTCCTAATTAACCACTTTCATACATTTTTTTTTCTTTTTTTCGTAAATTGGGCTGGTAGATTCATAACCTAGGCAAAATATTCCTTCTAAACTAAGTTTTTTTTGGGGTGTCTTGTAGTAAAATAGATTCTCTATCTTAAATCCATACATACCAGCTACTAAATCCCCATTTGCCTTAATCAGAAATCAACTTCAAACAAGCTACAAATCACTGGGTAAATGGCCAGCTATATAAGTGATCACTGTGCCACTCAAGGAGTTAAGGGATAAACAGGTCCAGTTTCTTCTACACTAAAGACCTTTTTTTTTTGGCGAGATGGAGTCTTGCTCTGTGGCCCAGGCTGCAGTGGTGCCATCTCAGCTCACTGCAACCTCCGCCTCCCAGGTTCAAGCAATCTTCCCACCTCAGCCTCTCAAGAAGCTGAGACTACAGTCATGTGCCACCATACCTGGCTAATTTTTGCATGTTTAGTATAGATGGGTTTCACCATGTTGCCTAGACTGGTCTTGAACTCCTGACCTCAGTTGTTAACTTGGCCTCCCAAAGTGCTGGGATTACAGGTGTGAATAACCACACCTGGCCACTGAAGAACTTTAGAATAAGACTGGTTACCTTTGCAGGATCAGTTATGTCTTCAATTCCTGATGGTAGATCATCACCAGGAGGACCATCATCACCACTATGTCCATTTACAGAAGCTAATTCCCTTCGAAACTGAATAAACTGTTCACCAGTTAAAAGATCTCTAGGCAAGTTATTCTGTACATGTTCTTTAAATCTAAAGGAAGATAATAAAAATACATACTCTATATTTGAATAATAATTTTAGATCTCATATTGAGATTCCTACTATACACTACTTTTTCAAAGGATTTTATTTAAAGAAAGAAAGCAAAATATCATAACCTTTCTCCTTCTTTTCTATAGTGAAACCCTACCATATGATAAAACACTACCATATGATGAAACAAGTCCATAGACATCTTCCATTTCTTCCTTCCTTTGCAGTGGAATGGAGAAGGCATGGATGAGCATAAAGTAAAACCTCAGTTCTGTCTGTTACTAGTTATCTGACTTAAAGGAAGATTTTACTTTCTCTAAATCTTAGTTTCCTCAACTGTAAAATGGGATGACAATACCTATTCTTTATGTCTCATAGAATCTATTTTACTACAAAGGCACAAAAGTTACAGTAAAATTAAATATTATAATCCATATTTAAATTCTAAATGATCACTTGTAAATAATCAACAAATATTGCCAGTTCTTTCCCACCTCCCAAATACTCCTCAATCTACATGTGGGTTCACAAAAACTCAATGAAACTGCCCAATTAAGATTATCAATTACCTCATATATAAAATTAAATGAACACTTCTTTTGTAGTATGGTCCTCCAAGCCTCTGACTGCTGCTCTTTGTCCTATTCCCCTTCTTACCTGCCCTAAATGCTAGTATTCCCACGAATTCCACTCTGCGATTGGTTCTGAACTACTTTTATTAAGACATACTTCTGGCCAATCCCATTAATACAGCTTGAAATACCTATACCATGATGACTCTCAAAACTATAACACAAGTCCAAACCTTTCTCCTAATCCAGATTAGCATATCCAACTGCCAATACTCTGCACAAAGAAATACAGATTAGTTTAAAGCTAATCTATAAAGAGATTTTTGAAGAAAATATCATTTCGCTTTTTTATAAAAACATGCAATAATTTGTATACACACAAACTTTGATCAAAAAAACCAGGTTGAGGAGCTAAAGAACATCACCACAATATGAACATACCTTTGGAACCTCAAATATGAAATGTCTTAAAGTAAGTGTGTCATCTTCATCTGAAAATGAATACCCTTAGTATTTCTAATATTGACTAATGATACTGTCAACCACTAAATTTCTCAATCTCTTCCACCTAGCTTTACATTTACATTACATTAGATACCAGGCCCTACTGACTGTACCTTTTAAATATATCTTCATCGTCTCCTCACTTTTAAGCTGGATAAACCTAAAATAGCCTCACAGCCTCTACTCTCACAACTCCCATTCCCACCTCAATACTACTATCAGAAATGTTATTAAAAAGTAAGCAAACAGGTCAGGCACGGTAGCTCACGCCTGTAATCCCAGCACTTTGGGAGGCTGAGCCGGGCAGATCACCTGAGGTCAGGAGTTTGGGACCAGCTTGGCCAACATGGTGAAACTCCATCTCTACTAAAAATACAAAAATTAGCCAGGCATGGTGGCATGCACCTGTCATCCCACCTACTCAGGGGGCTGAGGCAGGAGAATCACTTGAACCTGGGAGGTGGAGGTTGCAGTGAGCTGAGATCCAGCCACTGCACTCCAGCCTAGATGATAGAGAGACTCCGTCTCAAAAAACAACAACAACAACAAGAAAAGGCCAGGCATGGTGGCTTACGCCTGTAATCCCAGCACTTTAGGAGGCTGAAGTGGGCAGACCACCTGAGGTCAGGAGTTCAAGACCAGCCTGGTCAACATGGTGAAACAGCGTCTCCACTAAAAATACAAAAAATTAGCTGGGTGTGGTAGTGCTTGCCTGTAATCCCAGCTACTTGGGAGGCCAAGGCAGAATTGCTTGAACCTGGGAAGGCGGAGACTGCAGTGAGCCAAGATCTCTCCATTGCATGCATGCACGCGTGCGCGCACACACAAACACACAGAAGAAAGTATGCAAACAAACAAACAGTAAACTGTTCATCCCTCTCTTGATAGTTCATTGGGCAGTCTTTCATATTCTGACCCAGGCCTATCTCTTCAAACTAATTATTAGACTGGCTGCCCATGTCCCATATGTTCCAACCTTATAGATTTTTTTCCAAGTTTCTTAAATTAAGACTTTCAAAAATATATGTAAGGCCAGGCACAGTGGCTCACACCTGTAATCCCAGCACCTTGGGAGGCTGAGGTGGGCGGATCACCTGAGGTCAGGAGTTCAAGACCAGCCTGGCCAACACAGTGAAATCCCGTCTCTACTAAAAATACAAAAATTAGTCAGGTGTTGTGGCAGGCACCTGTAATTCCCAGCTACTTGGGAGTCTGAGGCAGGAGAATCACTTGAACCTGGGAGGTGGAGTTTGCACCATTGTAATCCAGCCTGGGCAACAAAGTCAGATTCCATCTCAAAAAAAGAAAAAAGAAAAAGAAAGAAAAAGAAAAGCCGGATGTGGTGGCTCACATCTGTAATCCGAGCACACTCTGGAAGGCCAAGGTGAGTGGATCACCTGAGGTCAGGAGTTCAAGACCAGCCTGTCCAACATGGTGAAACCCCATCTCTACTAAAAATACAAAAAATTAGCTGGGTGTGGTGGCACCTGTAATCCCAGCTATTTGGGAGATTGAGGCAGGAGAATCGCTTGAACCTGGGAGGCAGAGGTTGCAGTGAGCCAAGATCAAGCCACTGTACTCCAGCCTGAACAACAAGAGCGAAACTCCATCTCAAAAGAAAAAATGTAAATAACATTGGGATCTAATTTAAATTTTCCAAAGTCAATGGATACAGAGGCTAATGGCCCATTTCAGCACCAGGAGGAAATAAATTAACATAAATTACATTTTGTTAAAAAATTGAGAAAGTAACTCTCAAATATGTAGCAAGAAAAAACAGATTTAATTACGGATTAATATTAAAACAAATTTGTCAACATATTAAAAACAAAATAAGGTAAAATTTAAAAATATCTACATACAGTACATAAATTTAAAATGACTTGATTGGTACATCATGCAGAAACTTCTTTAAAACAGTGACAAAACATGCATAATATTAAGCAGTAATTTTTAGCAGTCTTTTGTATTATAAAGCTAATATTTTTTTCAGTAAAGACTGGCTGAGTGTCTAATACATATTGAGCTCTCCTAGATATTAGACATACAAAGAATTAAGCCTCAGAAACTGACAGGCATGTTGAAGATACTGGAGATATAAATTCAAAGTAGTGTTACTAGTGCTAATATAAACGTAAATAGATAAAGTGGTGGCACAAATGACAGACTAGATATCTCAATGTAGGTGAACCAGAGAAAATTTCAGAGAAGACACAAAACTGTGTGGTCTCAAGGAATATGAGTTTACCAGACAAGTGGAAAAAGGAAAAGGTATTAACAGTCATATAGATATAAAACAACAGTGCCATCTGGGAAATGTTATAACTTAGGTGTGTCTAGAGCTCAGGAACTACCAGGGATTGGACTTGGATGTTAGACCAGATCACAAAGTCCTCTTGCTAAAGATTTAAAATTAGGCTATCTCAGAGACAATTTGCAGGGTATATCCAATACACAAGCCTAATGCACAGCATAATAAAATTATTTCCATTATTATTGTATAGCACTTAGAATATATTTTTTAACTTACACCTCCTCCTCTACCCTTCTGACCAACTCACAGGCAACACCATTTATACACAGCTTTGGGCCTTCATTCCTACAACTTAAACAGCCTATCAACAGGTACATAGCAAATGCTAAATAAATGACTTTAAGAAAGAGGCATGTTAAAAAAAAAAAAAAAAAAAAAATTCAGTGGTTCTCAAAGCAGTTAGTCATTTGAATTATTTAGCTTATATAAACTGTAAGAATTGCATAAAGACTACCTGTGAGTTTGCTACAGATAAGGAAAGTGGTTCTAAATGCAGTAAGTGAAAAATAGCAGATTACAGATCAGTATGTGTAATATAATCCCACTAATATCTATTGTAAGTATATATGCATTTTTAAAAGCCTAGGGTAACTGATGACTTAAAGCAAAATAAATAAAAGCCTAGCAGGCTATTCATTTAGAAATAAAGAAGACTTGTAGGAGAACCTATCAAAAACTTGGGGTCCACACTGTCTAGGTTCCAAAAAGCTTCCAATCACTTACAAGCTCTGTGGCCTTAGATAAATATGCTAATCTCTCTGTGTCTCCACTTTCATTAAATGGAAACAACAGTACTTGTCTCAGTGGGTTATTGGGAGAATTATAAAGTGAGTTACAAAGCACTCAGCACAGTGTCTGTGATAAAGAAAATGCTATGTGGGTTTCCTACACATATTTTTTTTCATCATCAGTAAAGTTCTTGAAGTCACAGATTTTTCCTATACTTTAAATCACAGAAGAACTAGTCTATGAAAAGACACCCTCTTTGGCCCATCAGGTAATTTAAGTACTTTTGTATTTATGTGTTCAGTAACTATTTACCAAGCATTTCCATATGCCAATTCTTGCTTGTGTTAATGTCTTTCAGCAAATGTCTTCCTAGGTCGTTATACCTTAGAAACCTGCCTGCTTCCTCTATTTCATCAAAAGCAGAGAGTATATTCCTATCTACACGCTTTCTGTTTCTAACCTAACTCTGTATAACTTGTACCTCTAGCAAATTGATCCTTAGTACTTTACAAATGCTTCATCAAAGTCTTCTACTTTTGGTAGTAAAGAAAAATTTAGAAAATAACTCACTTAAAAAGTACCTAGGTTTATACGATATTATTCATAAAAAATGTAACAAAAATAGAAAACATGCCAATTTTTAAAAAAAGCAAAGACAGTCCTCAAACTTGTTCAGAAAGACTTTCTGGATCCTTACTGATGGGATATTCTGCATAAAGCAGAAAACAGAACACAACAATTATTACACACAGAATTAGTTGTTTTAACAGTAATCAATACAAGGATACCAATCGTAACAGAAAAATCAGGATGGAAAATTAAAATGGAATGATACCTGATTGTTTGAAAATAGATACTATTTACCATATAAGATGCATCCTTCACTGTTTTGGATATAAGGTGTTACAGCAATCCCAAGAACGTTTATTTAGCAAATCATTAAGTTTAAAAAATTAAACATTTATCATGTGCCAGGCACTGTGTCAATCTAATGCCATAAATAAATAAACAAACTTAGGTCCTATTTAATTATTCCTTCACTACTCTGAAATACCTTAGATAAGACAGAATTCCTGTGTTTCTTTATCTATTAAAATGTATAAGGAGAAACTTCCATCTAAAAACAGTAAATTTTCTAAACACTTCATTAGGTATATGAAAAAATGTCAAAAGCAAGCATGTAGGTTATAATTAGCAACAAAATTTATTCATCTTTCCACCAAATAAAAGCTTACATAACATTTCAAGAGAATTGTAATTCTCAATACCACCAACTAATTATTTGAGTAATCAAAGACGTTTCAATAATCAGAATTTCCCACCTACCTCTGAAAATGATGACTATATAGCTGTGTTGGGATACCAAGAATACGATCATATATAGCTGTAACTTCTCTCAGGTTTCCCTGCTCATTTTCCCAGTTTATATACATTTCCCACAGTCTGTCAGAACGGAAATCTGTTCCTGCAGCTAGAACAGCATGCTCAAAAGTTCTGAAAAATTAAATTACTCTTAAGTTACCTTTCCAAGATAAAATCACTTTTAAAATATTTCTAAATTTAGAAGATATGCTAACTTCAAAAATTATATTCAACTGCTTCCTATGCAAGTCGGGATTAAAAGGTAGACAGAATAATGGAAAGCATACAACAGCTGCTTAATTAAGGAGAATGAGAAAACAAAGGTAATAGATAAATGTACTTTTTATGTAATTTTATTTTATATAAAATTAAATACAAAATGTACACATTGCAAATAGGTAGGAGTAGACATTTAAGAATGTGTTAAATCTGAAATGTCTGTTGTATAGATTTATTTATAACAGAAGACAAAACTAAAACAAGTAGGAAGTTCAAGAGAGGCAGATTTCACCTCAATTTAAGAATATTTTCACCAGAAATGGTGGCTCATGCCTGTAATTCCAGCACTTTGGGAGGCCAAGGTGGGCGGATCACCTGGGGTCAGGAGTTCAAGATCAGCCTGACCAACATGGTGAAACCCTGTCTCTACAAAAATTAGCTGGGCATGATGGCAGATGCCTGTAATACCAACTACTTGGGAGGCTGAGGCGGGAGAATCACTCGAACCTGGGAGGCAGAGGTTGCAGTGAGCCAAGATCGCATGATTGCACTCCAGACTGACGACAGAGACCCCATCTCAAAAAATATATATATATTTTCAAGCAAAAATAACTCTCCATCAAGGAATCCAGCTGTCTTGTAAGATAATAACTACACATTTTAAACCTCTCAAAAGACCTCTCAATTCTAAAATTCTATCATTAAAGTTTATCACAGGCTAGGCACAATGAATCGTATCCGTAATCCCAGCACATGAGGCCGGGAGTTTGAGACCAGCCTTGCCAACATGGCGAAACCCCATCTCTTCTAAAAATACAAAAATTAGCCGGGTGTTGTGGTACATGTCTGTAATCCCAGCTACTCCGGAGTCTGAGGCACAAGAATCACTTGAATCTGGGAGGTGGGGCTGCAGTGAGCTGAAACCACACCACTGCACTCCAGCCTGGATGACAAGAGCAATACTGAGTCTCCAAGAAAAAAAAAAAAGGTTTGTTACAAAGTACTTTAAAATACCTAGTCATGTCAAGAGATTTCTGTAAGCAATTTTAATCACTGGGTTAATACTCCAATGGAATAAAGCTTTTAGATACATACTTTCAAGATAAGTACCTTAAAATCAAGAGAGATTTTTTTTAAAGTATAAAAATATACTAAGTTAAACCACAATTTAAATAAAGCTCTAAAAAATTTTGAGTGGAACAAGAAAAATCAAATTCTACTGTTCATCTAGTATACAAAAATGCAAAATGTCTTTGTAAAAAGACAATGCAGCAGGCATTTTCCTGAAAGATAATATAAGAAACTAGGAAGCTATAGTAATTACACGTTTGGCACTGGCCAGGTTAACAGAAAAATGGATCAGTAGTACAGAGGCGAAGAAAACAAAAAGAGATCAATGTGTTTGAGTATTTAGTGTATAATATAGAATATATTTTAATTCAACAGCGGAAAAAAATGAAAGCCTAACGTCTATCTCAAGACAGAAATTAAAATCAGATAAATCAACAAGCAAAAAACTGTAAAAAAGTTAGAACAAAATACAGGATTTATAAATTTTTGGCTAAATAGGCACAAAACTCAGAAACCAGTAATAATTCAAACAGCAGCACATTAAGGAAAAATAAAACTCCACATGATAAAAGACACCATAAACAAAGTTAAAGACATACCAATACTCGAGGAAATATGTTTAACATAGCAATAAATGAATATGTTTAATGTAGAAATGAAAGAAGAGCATATATGTGTGTCTGTGCATGTATGCATGTGTGTATTTACTGTAAGGTTTTCAAAAATAAAATAGATGTTACTGTCCCTACAGAAGCCCAAAGGATTCATAAAATTAACCAGACACTGAAAAAAGTATGGAGGAAAGGGGAAGAAGGAGGTAATGAAATAAAGACAGAACGTTTAGAAGGTCTGCTTAATGAATGGTGAGAAATCTTCAACTTTCCTGCCCAGCTGTGGGGATTTCAGAAGCTAGGTTTCCCTTCCCCAGGTAAATCAAAGTATCTTTTTCTAAAGAAACTGCTTGGCTCAGGAATAAGATATAAGGTTACTAACACTAGGAGTCTACCAACAAAAACCAGAGTGGCCACATGATTATGCTACTGTGAAACCCTACAGGCCAACTGGCAATGCCCCATACAAAACACACAGTGCTTCCATATAGCTTTTTTTTTTTTTTTTTTTTTTTTTAGACGGAGTCTCACTCTGTCACCCAGGCTGGAGTGCAGTATCACGATCTCAGCTAACTGTAACCTCTGACTTCCAGGTTCAAGCAATTCTCCTGCCTCAGTCTCCTGAGTAGCTGAGATTACAGACTCCTGTGACCATACCCAGCTGTTTTGTATTTTAAGTAGAGACAGGGTTTCACCATATTGGCCAGGCTGGTCTTAAACTCCTGACCTCAGGTGATCTGCCTCCCTCGGCCTCTCTAAGTGCTGGGATTACAAGCCTGAGTCAACATGCCCCCAGCCTGGCTTGATGTTTCTTAATAAGCATAAAATCTCCTGGGTCTTTCAGCTAAGTTCATCTAAGAAAATTACTAATCTGCAATAGGAACAGAAATCCAGAGATCAGGTATCTCAGAGATAAAAATGAGTAAACAGAAAAATTTCACAGGAAACAGTGCTAACAGAAGAAAACCTCAACTGTCTTTAGTATCGTCAAAGAAACAATGAAAATATATGCAGCCATGAAACAAGAATTGGAGAGTATTAAAAAAAGAACATTTAGAGAACAAGAAAGATTCTTGGATATTAAGAATCTGATGGAAGATGTTTAAAATCCAATACAAGGGTCAAGAAGTACCTCAAAAAGCTAGACAAGGTCTAAGAGATGAAAAATAGGAAGAAGAAAAGAATAATTAAGAGGAGGTCCTATAGCCAACTATTAAAAACACCAGAGAAAATCAAGGCAAAGAAATTGTCAAAATAAGAATATCCATAATAAGAGTATTTCTAAGAATAGAAGGACATCAGAACCTAAGATCAAAAAGACCCACCAATAATCAAGATAAGTACCTTAAAAAGAAAATCCACATCAAAGCTCATCATTATAAAACTGCATTTACCTCAAACCCAAAGAGGAGATTCTAAAAGCTTCCACAGGAAAACATGTTATAGAAAGAGAATCTATTCTAGAAGAATTGTACTGGACTTCTCAAAAGCAACAGCAGAAGCTATAAAGACATAAAGAATGCCTTCAAAGTTCTAAAGAGAAAATAATTTTCATCTCCAAATTCTATACCTTACCAAACCTTAAAATTATTTTTTCATCCAAGCATCCTTTAACAAGAAGTTATAGGACACACTTTTCTAAAAGCTGCACATGAAACAAAGAAAGAGTCAGATTTATTTATAAACTCACCCAGGAGTGAGGTAAAGGTAACTCCTAGAATCATGATGATAAGAAAATCCCAAGACAACTCTAGTACAGCAGACTAGAAGACCAGTCCAGATTACAGTAGAAAGGTTTCTAGGAGACACAACTCAAAGGAGAGAAAAAAATGGTACTTAAAAATATTTTTTAACAGGTCTGATTGTATAGAAAGCTATATTTAAAGCCTTTTACAAAGCTGGTGGAGGTATGAAAAAAACCTTAAATGTTCAAAGAAAATTAGACAGATGGGCAGGGGAGGAGTAACCACAAAAAACCAAAAGGTTATAAAATGAAAGGGCAGTATAATGAAAAATATTTATAGGTTTTTAATCTCTTTTTTGAGACAGGGTGTCGCTCTGTCACCCAGGCTCGAGTGCAGTGGCACAATCTTGGCTTACCACAACCTCCACCTCCTGGGTTCAAACAATTCTCTTGCCTCGAGTAGCAGGGACTACAGACACACACCACCATGCCCAGCTAATGTTTGTTTTTGAGACAAGGTATCACGCTATCACCCAGGTTGGAGTGCAATGGTGTAATCACAGCTCACTGCAGCCTTAACCTCCTAGGCTCAAGCAATCCTTCCACCTCAGCCTCCCAAAGTGCTGGGATTACAGGTGTAAGCCATTGTGCTCATCCTTATTTATGGGTTTAGAATGATTAAAAAAAATACTGAAGCTGATTATTGAAACCTATCCTGTAGCTACAATGGAAAGATAAGGAATGGAAAAACAGAGTCTAAGCGGGTTAAAATTCTCATTTACCATAACAGATACAGGACGTCTACAACTAATAGAGAGAGAGAAAGAAAGCAATATACATCTACTGTTATACACACGGTGGAAAATGCCAGAAGAGCTAAAATACTTGAAGGGAGGTGGAGGGGTCACTTTTTGTTACAGTTTAACATTAGCTAACTTCTTAAACTGTATGCACATGCTTTTTTGAAAACCAAAAACAAATACATTAACAAATTACTGTAATCAATAAGAAAAAGATCATATAAAAGAAAAATGAGCAAATGCTATCAACAGGCAATTAAAAAATGGCTTATAAGAAGATGGTAAACCAGGATGAGTAATCAAGATATACACAAAGTAAAACAGAGATGCTACTGGAGGTAAAACAAAAAAAAAAAATGTGGCACAGCTGTGGGAAAATTATTTTCATACACTGTGGGAGTTAAGAACTGATACCGTTTTGAAGGAACATTTGATAAAACTTAGCTGTGTGTTCCCTTTGACAGAAGCTCCATTTCTAGTACATTCTACAAAAATATTGACTTGTACAGCGATGTTCACTGTAGCACTGATTATTTCCTATAAATAACGATTTGGTGAAATAAAGTATAGTACTTTGGCATTATAAAATACTTTTTGCAATGGTTAAAAATATAGCAGGAAGGGATTCCCAAACATTGTTAAATAAAAAAAAGTCAAACAGCAATATGAAAATACACATACAAATATGTACATATACCTACATCTGAAAGAACACACGCCAAGATATTAACCATGAGGAGTGGAATTGGGGACATAAGGAAAGGGGTATGGAAGGTAGGAGGGCTTTATTATCTGCATTTTCAAATCATAAAGCATAAGTTTATTACATGTATTATTTTTTAACAATGGAAAAGTTAAAACTTCCAGCTTAGCTTATCATGAGCTCTATTATCAACATCAGAATAATTATTTGCATCTGAAAATACATTTGAGTATCAATGTTCCACATACCCTCTTATTGTATTGTTTGTCTCAGGATCACCAGGGTCCAATGTTTCTTTTAAGAAGTTTATATAATGTATCCAGAGGTCAACACTAAGAGGTATTGCCTGAAGCCCCCGCCGATAAACCTAAGAAGAAAACAGCAAACTGTACTTCAAATATTTATTTATTTCTTAACAGAGAGGCAACACTGTGTTATCCGGTGAACCTTAGAAATACTAATTACTGGAATTTTGTTTAAATAATCTACCATTACCATTTGGGTGGAGGTTGGATAGAACATGGCAATGTTCTGATCCCCACGTGCAGAGTCTTGATCTTCAAAGCGCAGCAGTCCCTGCATTCTGACCGGGTTGTGTGGGCAGGCTTTGGGTTACAGACCATAGGGCACAGACCCATTAGAGCATCAATGACAGCGTCTGACCAAAAATGCAATAAGACGTAGCAAATGTGACTAGCAAACCAACTATATTGTTTGGAAAATGAGAAATAAATGTAAGTGAGAGAAAAGCCCTGCCCTACTTGTTAAGCTGCAGTGTAATACAGAGGCTTGCACTGCAAAGCTTGACAAACTGTAGAGGTTTAACGCACCTGCCAACAAAGAGAGAAAATATTAGCTACAAATGCCACAAGAGTGACAAATGCAAATAAATACCCTATAAAAATTGTTTGACCATAAATGGTAGGTACTGCCAGCCAAAAAAAAAAAAAAAAAAAAAAAAAAAATCTTTGTTTTGTTATTAATTGGCTTACAGTACCTATTGGAGATTACTTTATTCAGTGATGTACGCACCTCATCTGATTGTTTAATGTTGTCGTGCCGCTTTTCAAGGTCTGCATACTTTTTCCAGTAACCATAGCAATACGGATAGTGTATGAAAAATTTGTCAAATGCCTTCCTGGCAGCCATCAAGTGATTCTGATAAAAATAAAACCGTATTTAAATACTGTGGAAATTTCTGTCAAAAAAATATTTATTATTCCTTTCAAATGTTATTATCTAAAAAATATAAATAAATGGCAGGCTTAAAAAGTACATATACAGACTGCTCTGCCAATGGAGAAGTCATTCTTTCACTCCTTTACTTTCTTAATAAACTTGCCTTCACTTGGAAGAAAAAAAAAAAAACACACACGCACACAAAAACCTACAGAGGCAGCAGCCCCCTTTTCCTTCTAAATGCAATTGAAACAAAAGGAACTAATTTTATCAACTTTGTATTTCAGCAATTTTCCACACACACACACACTTCAATTACAAAACATTAAGTGTTGACACCGACTCTCCACAACCTAAAAAAGCTATAAGCTATTTTCAAAGCTAAAAATGTATCTACCTAATGTTATTCAACTTCATCTGAAAATTATGTCGATTTTAATCATAAAACAATAAAGACTATTGTTTCATTATAAATTAATAGGACTTATTTGTTCCTTCAGATACCATTTAAATAGTTACTAACCTCCTGTTCTACATACTGAAGCAAATACACCCAGCCTGTAAAATCCTGAGGATTATTTTCTACAGTTTTCCAAAATTTTTCATATTCTGGAGGGAAATTTGCTTCTGTTTCTGTCAGTGTCACTGGAAGGTCCACAGCACTTGCCATTTCACTTTCTTCTGTAGCTGCATTCACATTGGGAGAGTCATCGGGTGACTGTTCCATTTCTGTAACATTCATAATCTCAGTACTGAAATCAGCAGGATGTTCTACCACTACCTCTGAACTGTTGCCTGTGCTGCCATTACTAGAATTTCTGTATTCATCCATGTGAGAATTTTGCATAGCTACTTATTTTGTCTTCAGTTAATGATCTGTGGAAACACAAAGAGAGAAATATCTTTCAAATGCCAATAAAATTATTTGGCCTCAACAACCCTTTTAAAAAGCCCTAATTTAGTATTAAAGAAACATGAATTTGATTCTTAATCTCCCCTACAAGTCAGAATCAGAAGGTTCATTAGCTTTTATATTATAAATAAAATTATAAATTATTGACAAAACTACCATTTTGTTGCTGGTATTTGAATAAAATCCAAATAACTATGGATTTGTTACCTCATTCATTAAAAAAAAAAAAAAAAAAAAAAAAAGGACTCTGCCTGCTACTTAATGAAGAAATACTGTTTAAAATTCAGTGTTTCTTATTTAGGTAAGAATCTGATTCAGTGCCTGAATACTACCTTGCTATCAATCACTGGAAAACAGCCTATCTCTAATAACTGTTCTACAGGCTAAGAGTAAAACTGACTTAAATTCTGGTCATGGTTATAAACATTTCAAAAGGAAGTTCATCACTTAGCTAGGATAAAGTTTTAGAAAAGAGAAAATGATATTGCTTATATTTATATACTTATGAATTTTAAATCCTGACAGCTTGGTTTCAATTTTAAAAAAGATATAAATTATGGTTTTAAAAATTAAAAAGTAATTTTTTAAGTGAATAAAAAATACATTTAAAGGGCCAGGCATGGTGACACGAAGCTGTACTCCCAGCTACTCAGGAGACGCTGAGTCAGGAGGATCGCTTGAGCCCAGGAGTTTGAGGCTGCCTAAGCTTTGACCATGTTACAGTACTCCAGCCTGGGCAACAGACCACCACCCTACCTCTAAAAAACATATTTGAGAAAGGCTTACAGTCTGGATAATAACTGCATAACATATTTAAAATTATGTCATCTAATTTTTAAGGCTACAAGATAAGGAATTATTGCTTTAAGGTAGTACCACAACATATTTTCATAATTACCTTCATCTCTTTCACTCACAGCTTAAGTGAAAACCAAATCATTAAATTACAGGGCATGTCTGTTTTTTTTTTTTGTTTGTTTGTTTTTTTTTTTTAAGATGGAGTTTCGCTCTTGTTACCCAGGCTGGAGTGCAGTGGCACAATCTCGGCTTACTGCAACCTCTGCCTCCCAGGATCAAGCTGTCCTTCAGCCTCAGCTGCTCTAGCTGGGATTACAGGCACACACCACCATGCCCAGCTAATTTTTTGTATTTTTAGTAGAGACGGGGTTTCACCATGTTGACCAGGATGGTCTCGATCTCTTGACCTCGTGATCCACCCGCCTCAGCCTCCCAAAGTGCTGGGATTACAGGCTTGAGCCACCGCGCCCGGCCTGTTTTTTTTTTAAATGAGGGATTATTCTCAAAATTAAGCAGACCATAAAATGGATTTACTCTTAAAATATACCTGGAATACACTCCTACTTAATATATTAATAGTACAGTTCATTAAAAAGATGATTAAAACTGTAAAGATAATAGTGCAAAGGAAGAAATGCAAATGACCAATAAATATATAAAAGGATTATATCTTTACTAATAAAGATATAAACCAAAACGATGAGTGTACCACACACCAACTGTCAACTGAGCATATTTTATACTATGGGAATAATCAGAAAAGGTCATATATTTGTTTCAGGGCATTCAATACCAGAACTGTCGTACAGCAAAAAGGGAGGGTATTTTAAGAAAAAGACTGCTTTAATAAATGGCATACACATATAATGGAATAATAAGAATTAAAAAGGAAATATGTATATCTGCACTGATACAGAAAAATATCCATTACACACATATATAAATATACGTGTGTGTGTGTGTGTGTGTGTGTGTGTATAATTCTTATTTCTTAAAATGGAGTCTTGCTCAATTGCCCAGGCTGGAGTGCAGTGGCACAATCTCGGCTTACTGCAACCTCTGCCTCCCAGGATCAAGCTGTCCTTCAGCCTCAGCTGCTCTAGCTGGGATTACAGGCACACACCACCATGCCCAGCTAATTTTTGTATTTTTAGTAGAGACAGGGTTTCACCATGTGGTCCAGGCTGGTCTCGAACTCCTGATCTCAGGTGGTTCACCTGCCTTGGCCTCCCAAAGTGCTGGGATTACAGGCATGAGCCACCTTGCCCAGCCAGTACTTTAAAAATACATATATATGCATACATACATGCACTCACAGATTTATAAGGATTTACACCAAATAAAATACAATGAAACTGTCAGCTGGTGTTAACAGTTGTTTTCCATACAAAAGTGAGATGTGTGCTTTATTCTTTTTGCTTACCTGCAATTATTTAACTGAATTGGGTGGAGAACTTTTCTGCTATTTTTTTAAAAAGCCAGTATAGCTTGACTGGATGCTTTTTTTTTTTTTTACAATTTTATGACTACCACACTTTAAAAATTTGGGTTTCATTATCATCTATGCAGAAGTTTGCAAATCTAGCTCCAAACAAGTCAACTAGTAAGGTGTTTAAAACTAATATAGATTCCTTACCTACTCGAATGATTCTGAGGTCTAGGGAAGGGTCAAGAAAGTTATACTTCTACAAAATTATCTAAATAATTCCAAAAAATAGAAACTTATTTATTTGTGGGTAAACTCTGAACAGTGTAACTTCTGGATCACATAATAAGCATGTATTAAATTTGGGAAGATGCTGACAATTTATCTCTGGAAAAGTTGCACTAGTCATCCAGCAGACACTTTTAGTTGCCTACCCAATATCCCCTCTCACTATTCGTAATTTCCTTACTAACAAAAGACTGATTTCATTCAAAGCAGCAATATACTTAATCTCATGTAAGTGACCAGAAAACTGAAAAGAACATCTGCTGCAGAGCTCTGAGAAACATTCTGCTTTTTTGATAAGAAGGGACAATCACAACTAATGTGGTTCTTCCTTCTACCAATGTATTCTTACTTTGGATTTGACCATATCTGAAATAACTCATGTATATAAAGTAGTTTATAAGGGATTGACCAAGAAAATTAAGAAATACCAACTCTGACATCATCAAGCTGCTAACAAAATGCCACCTTCCTATTGTGTGAGGAAATAAATTCCTATTTGTTTAAACTCCTATCAATATACAAGTTTTCTGTAACTTGGAGACAAAATGAATTCCTAACCAATTCACCCATCACTAGTGCATGAGACTGTCCATTGCTTTATATCCTCGTCAACACTAGGTATCACTTGGTCATCTAATTTTTTTTTTAACAAAGTAGCACCTCATTTTGATTTTCATTTCTTTACGAGTGAAGTAAAATTTTTATTTCTTTTTTTCATACTGCCTTTTCACATCTTTTGTCCATATTTTTTGTTCATTACTAACTTTTTTCTTCTTGGTCTGTATATACTCTTTGAACTAAGAAAATCAGATATTTACAAAATACATTGCAAAGTGTTATTATAAGTTTGTCATATTAGTTTTACACTTGGGAGCGCGTCTGTGTGTGACCCCTCTGAAATTGTCACACAGATACAAAATCCAGATTTTAAAATATTTTCACCATTTCAAAATGTAGCATGCTTAGACAAGGTGGCTCACGCCTATAATCCCAAAACTCTGAGAGGCCAAGGTGGGTAGATCGCTTGAAGCCAGGTGTTCCAGACCATCCTGGGCAACAAAGTGAGATTCTGTCACTACAAAAAAATTTAAAAATTAGCTGGGCGCAGTGGCGTGTGCCTACAGTCCTAGCTACTGAGGAGGTTGAGGTGGGAGAATTACTTGACTGACCAGCAGTTCAAGGCTGCAGTGAGCTACAATCACACCACTGCACTCCAGCCTTGGAGACAGAGTAAGATTCTACTAAAATCAAGAAAAAAAAAAAAAAAGAACAAAATACTATGAAGCCATTTTTTTTTCCTAAGAAAGAATACATTTTAAATGTTAAATCAAAAGACCTTTTGAATCTGAATGCCACTGGAAGAATCAGCTATAACCAGGTAAATCTAGGGAATATACAAAAATATGAACGGAAAAACTGGGACATGGGGGGAGGGGGAGATGTAGACGAAAAATTTTCAATGCCTGATGGAGGTCCAGCATTATATTACATTCCTTGTAGTGACATTTAAGTGTAAAATAAAGTTCTCACTCACTAAGGTCTATTGACCATGTAGAGAAAGAGCAAGCACACAAAACACACCACACACACATTTGGAGATAAGCTTTCAAATGAAGCAAAGTCAAAGATTAGAAAAAAATCATTTGAAAACGACAGTAATCTATAGATGAAAAACTTCATTAAATATAATTAACTTTGAAAAATCATGGAATAATGAATAAAGAATGGTAAACTATTCTAGAATATGTAACAACCCATTAAACAACTCTTCTTGACAGCAGACAAGAAGGTAGAAATGATGACTGGAAAGTTAAGAGAGAAACAGAATGACCAGAATGAAGCGGTTGGTACTGAGAAGTAGAAAGATAAAAGCAGAATAAGTAGCATGGAGCCAGATTATGGACACAAGAATTTGAGAAGAAATTATACAAAATGCAAATCCAGCCAATGCATAATAAAAGAGAATCCAAAGTATTAGACTACCAGAAAAAGTAAGTTCCCTTCTAGTTGAATGAATGCTTAATGTCACAACTTTTCCAAGTTTAACCACTTCAGGCCCTAGGAATAGGCAAAGTAACTTGTAAATTTATTTTGCTTTTCCCCCCTTCCTTTAAAGAAAAAGATACATTTCAAGATTAATTTTCCATATGCAAATTGAGCTCAGTGTAAAAACAAAAAACACTACAGACTGATATATTCTGAGTCATTAACTAGCTACCTTAACCTAACTTCATACTTGAGACATAAAGGTTTCTTCTGGAATCAGCAAATTTACCACACCCCTGCATCTTCAGAGACTGTCAATTACTCCACACCCTGCAATCACGGTGTTGTAAAAAGATTTAAGAACATCAGCCTTATGCTTACAGAGATCATTTTGATAATTACTTCATAAATCACAGAGTCAAAATAATACACTAAGGTTATTTTTTAATGAGTTACTCCGACATA